CAGCGCGCTGCTGAGCCGAGCACGCAGGCTTTTGGCTCTCTGCCAATCACCCTGCCGCCATTCATCCATGGCAAGACGGACGTGGCTGCGTGGTTGTCGATGATGACCGACCTGTTCAAGGCTCACAAGGTCCATGACGATGCTCGCGTCGTCGCTGCCACCACCGTGCTGGACCAGAATGCACAGCGAGTGGTGTATGGCAGCAAGATCCAGGCTGAGGCGGATAGGAAGCCGTTTGGGTGGGAGGAATTTGCCTCTGCACTCAAGTAAGCTCTCCTTCCAGGTCCAGCCGACCCAGCTGGAGGTGCGCAGCCGCCTTGAGAAGCTGCAGTGCGGGAACCGCACAGTTCAGCAGTACGCAGTTGAGTTCGAGGAGATCTGGGTGCTCCAGAAACCGGCGGAACGTATGAGCGAAGGCGAAAAGATCCACCTGTTCTTCAGGGGGCTGCCTGAACACCTTAAAAACATGCATATGACGGATGGGGCTGGGGAGGCATGGAGGTCCTACGATCATGTGAAGCGCGTGGTGGGGACCACTGATAAGCATTTCCGTGCTTATGCCAAAACCACTACCCAGCCGCAGCAGGCCTCAAGGCCGTCGTCTAGCACTGCGGGTCCAAGCGGAAGGCAGCAAGCAACGCCTTGGAAGGGCGGGAACCACAAGAGGCCCTTCCAGCAGGGACAGCAGGCTGACCACAAGGCCAAGAAGGTCAACGAGGGTGGACCAAGCAATGTCCAGAGCTGCTTCAAGTGCGGCAAGCCTGGACACAAGGGCTATGAGTGCCGCCACCGCAAGTCGGTGAATTACTCTGGCAAGCCTAAGACGGACAATAGGCGCAATGACGGCAGTGGTCCCTCGGGCAGCCAGCGGGATTTTGCAAAGCCCAACTAGGGGGTGGGTACCTAGCGGGCATAGCAGATCGAGAGGATGAGGCAGTGGTCCTGCGGGATGAGGAGTTGTTGAAACTCGAATGCCTTGTTGATTGCAAAACTGCATGTGCGTATGCATTTTCCTTTAATGAAAGCTCTTTGTTTGCCTCTCGATTTCACCCACTGGAAAGTATCACAATTGAATCATTACAAGATAAATTCTCAAATTTTTTTTGCGATCACCACAATTTGCCTTGGATAATGGATGTGGTGGGTCGTTGCACCCAAGCGCACCCTCTAACTGCGGTTGGAATGGTAACGCGCACAGTTCGAGGTAAATTATTTCGAGCGCTTCAAGAATGGAGTGTGTTAGCGTTGTGGGATAAAGGACACCACGTGTGGTGGACACAAGCTCGTTCTTTTGGACGTAGCAAGCACGGCATTAAAGCGCCCATATTATTTGCCTCCCACTGATATTACAGCATGTCCTATCCGACCCAAACATCAGCAAAACCTTTTGTTTTCGGGTTGCGTAAATGGGCGCAGTGCCTCGATCCTAGTTGATACGGGTGCAACTGCGTCATTGATCGATGAGAAGTGGATGGGATATTTGAAGGTTCCTGTTCAAGGACCATCTTGTTCTATCCGTCTAGGTGATGACTGGGTCATCCCATGCAGAGGACATGCATTGGTCAACCTGGATATCCAAGGATATCAGGAGACCGTCAGCGTTTTTGTCTTACCCCTCCTAGCAGGCGTAGACATTGTCTTGGGAATGGATTGGCTGCGGCCTAATAAGGTGACCTTAAATTTCCAAGATAACACGCTCTCATTTACAAAGAATGGGACGACGTTTCAATGGCAAGTCCCAAAGCGCCAAGCACTGGACGACAAACCTCAAACGTTAGCTCTTGATGTACGCTTTGCGTCGGCTCTCCAATTCAAAGAGCATGTCAAGGGAGCTGATACACTTTTTGTTGTACAGCTAGACTCCGAACCAACAACTTCACAGATTATTGAGGATTTCCTGCCTCAAATGAAGGCGTTGGCGGAGGAATATTCTGAGGTTTTTGAGCCAATTCCGGACGGGTTACCTCCTGACCGTGCAGTTGGCCACACCATCCCGGTGGAACCAGGAAAGGCACCACCATTTAGACCTCTGTATCGCCTCAGTCCAGCTGAGTACGAGGAGGCTAAACAACAGATTGAGGAATACCTCAGGAAGGGATGGATAGAGCCTAGCGCGTCCCCGTATGGAGCACCTATCTTGTTAGTTCACAAGAAGGGAGGTGGATTGCGCATGTGCGTCGATCATCGGGCCCTGAATAAAATTACGATAAAAAACATATATCCACTTCCGCGGATAGCGGATTTATTTGATCGACTACAGGGTGCGCAATGGTTCAGTGCATTAGATTTGGTGCAAGGTTATCACCAATTGCGTATAACAGAGGACGATGTTCCAAAGACGGCTTTCCGTTCGCCGTTCGGCCATTTTCAGTGGCGTGTGTTAAGTTTTGGCTTGACCAACGCTCCGGCCTCTTTCCAGAGGGCGATGAACGATGTGTTTCGTGATGCGATTGGCCAGTTCGTCTTGGTGTACCTCGATGATATCCTGGTATACTCGAAAACCGAAGACGAGCATACGGAACATTTGAAATGGGTCCTCGGAAAATTACGCAAGCATAAGTACTACGCGCGTTTGTGGAAATGTCACTTTTACAAACGTGAGCTGGAGTACTTGGGGCACGTGGTGGGGCATAACGAGTTGAAAGTGGATCCCAAGAAGGTAGCAGCTGTCAAACATTATATATGTTGTAGCTTTGTAGGCTACAGTGGGTTTAGCCTTAGGGGGTACACAATTCTAGGGTTTCATATTTGTACTCCCATTCTTGTTAGTCACACATCATTCCTCATTTTCTCACATGGTTTCAGAGCAGGTTCCCTAGTGGGAACGCTTCCTAGGGCCCACCACGAACCCTTTTTTTTTTTCTTGCCCAGAGCGCGCTTTGCTCCTGCCCGAGTCGCGCCCCGTGTGCCCTCCCTACCGTCGCGCCCTCTCTCGGCCCCTCACGGCCCCTCACGGCCCCTTCGCGTCGCCCTTAGCGGCCCCTCTCACGGCCCCTCGTTCCACCCTTACGGCCCCTCGCGCCGCCCTTACGGCCCCCCGCGCCGCCCTTACGGCCCCTTACGGCCCCTCGCGCCGCTCGTCGGCCCCTTACGGCCCCTCGCGCCGCTCGTCCGCCCCTCGCGTCGCCCTTCGCGGCCCCTTACGGCCCCTTGCGCCGCCCTTACGGCCCCTCGTACGGCCCCTTACGGCCCCTCGCGCCGCCCTTCGCGGCCCCTCGCGGCCTCCTCACAGCCCGTCGCCGCCCTCCGCGGCCCCTCGCGCCGCCCTTCACGGCCCGTCGCCGCCCTCCGCGGCCCCTCGCGCCGCCCTTCACGGCCCGTCGCCGCCCTCCGCGGCCCCTCGCGCCGCCCTTCACGGCCCCCTCTGCCGCCCTTCGCGGCCCGCCGTCGCCGTCCCCGCAGCAGCAGCCGCAGTCGTCCCTGCAGCAGCAGCCGCCGCCGTCCCTGCCGCGGAAGCCGCAGCTGCAGCAGCCGTTCCCAGCGGCAGCCACCGCCACCTCCCTCGGGACCGCAGCCGCCGCCGCCGCTGACTGCAGCCACCGGTGCGCCTCGGCCCTACCGACGCGCCTCGGCCCTACCTGCGCGCCTCGGCTCGTCCCTGCCGGTGCGCCTCGGCCCTGCCCCACCACTTGCGGCTCTCTGCCCTGGTAAGAGTGTCGCCGCACTGCGCTGTCACTACTGCCACTGCTGCTACTGCTGCCACTGCTGTCATGGCTACCCCTAGCGTCCTTGTCTTTGATGCTGAGGGTCGGGCTGTTGACTTTGAGGTCTGGCTCGATGATCTGCAGCTTTTCCTACAGTGCGATAGGGCAGACGGTCTCTCCCTCTTTGACCTCACTTCTGGTGCCTCTCCTTCCCCTGCTGCTGATGCTGACGCCACTGTTCGCTCACAGTGGGCCACGAGCGATGCTGCTGCCCGACTTGTTGTGCGCCGCCACTTGCCGACCGCTGAGCGTGCGCACTTTAGTCAGTACAAGAGTGCTAAGACCTTGTACGACGCTGTAGTTGCACGCTACTCTTCCCCTGCCACTGCTGCGCTTAGCCGCCTCATACTGCCGTACCTCTTCCCTGACCTCGCCGCTTTTCCCACTGTCGCTGACCTCATTACGCACCTTCGCACTAGTGACATCCGCTACCGCGCTGTGCTTCCTACTGAGTTCTGCGCCAAGAATCCCCCCCCCCCATGTACATCACCCTCTACTACATAGTCACCCGGCTCCCTGACACCCTTCGCTCGGTCAGGGACCACTTTCTCTCTGTTTGCCCCACCACTCTCACCGTTGACCTCCTCGAGGAGCGTCTCCTAGCAGCAGAGAAGAGCATAGTTGCTGTAGGAGCCTCTCGTGGTGACCCTCGTACCCCTGTCTTTGAGGGGTGCTCCCCCTCCCCCCTCTTGCCCTCTGTTGCCTCTGCTTGCTGCGGTCGACCTTGTTGGTCTTGAGTCGGTCGCTGCGGCGTCTACCTCTAGCGGGAGACGCCGCCCAGGCAAGGGCAAGGGGGGCAAGGTCGCTGGGGGAGTTGGTGGAGGCGGTGGAGGCGGCAGTGGAGGAGGCGGAGGGAGTGGGGGTGGCGGTGGGAGTGGTGGTGGGAGTGGGGGCACTAGTGGAGGCAGTGGCGGCGGAGGAGGAGGCGGTGGTGGAGGTAGCGGCGGCGGAGGTGGAGCGGGTCGGGGCGGCTCTACGCAGAGGGTCGGCTCCGGTGGTGGTACGCGCCAGCAGCAGCAGCGTACTCGTGAGACCCCTTCCCCCCAGCAGCTTCGTGAGTGGTACACTGCTCGTCAGCGGGGCGGGGGTGCTGGCCCCTGTACCTACGTTCTCCGTACCGGCGATCGAGCGGGTGAGCAGTGTGGGGGAGCGCACTCCACCCAGCGCTGCTTCGGCCGTCTGACGGACGCTTGGCGTCACCAGTTCCCCGACGCTACTGAGATCCCTCGCTGGGGCGAGCTGTCTAGGGCGGGTGTTGCGATCTTTGATCTTGATTATGATGCTATTCTTGCTGCCATGTATGCTGTGACTATTAGTGATGAGGGTGACTGTTACCGGTGTTTTCCGCCTGACCCGGGCATTGAGGCTGCTGCGCTAGGTGCTTGTGAGACTGCTGCTCTAGGTGCCAGTGCGTCTGCCGCCCCAGGTGCCGGTGAGTCTGCGCTCTCAGGTACTGCGTCGTCTCCGGACACCCACACCTTCACCCTTGACTCGGGTGCTTCCCGCTCCTTCTTTCGAGACTGCACCACTCTCACGCCACTCAGTCGGCCGGTTGCAGTCTCCCTGGCAGACCCCTCTGGGGGTCCTGTTCTTGCCCACTACTCCACTGTCCTACCGTGTCCAGCGGTCCCGTCTGGCTCCCTGTCGGGTCTTTACCTCCCCTCGTTCTCTACGAACTTGGTGGCGGGTGCTGACCTACAGGATGGGGGGGTTGACCAGTTCACCCCTGCGCGTCAGCGGGTGACCCACTGCACGTGTGCAGACACGGGCCGACACTTGGCCACGTTTACCCGTCGGCCGGGGTCGAGCCTGTACACACTGACTACTGAGTCTCCTCCAGTCACTGAGTCAGCTCAGGTAGCAGCGTTGGGTCAGGTGTTTGCTGCGGTGTCCAGGTCTGGTCCTGAGTCTGCCCCCTGCTCGTGTCGTCTCCTGTCCCACCGGACTCTCCTCTGGCACCACCGCCTTGGTCACCCCTCCCTGCCCCGTCTTCTTGTCTCTGGCCTCCCCCGGTCCCTCCCTCCCCTTCCTCCGGGGCCTGCCCCCACCTGCGTTCCCTGCGTCGAGGGGCGGCAGCGCGCTGCTCCTCACTCCTCCGAGTTTCCTCCGACAGAGGCTCCGCTGCAGACGCTTCACATGGACGTGTGGGGCCCAGCCCGCGTCCGTGGGCAGGGTCACGAGCGTTACTTCCTGCTGGTGGTTGACGACTACTCGCGTTACACCACAGTCTTCCCCTTGCGCAGCAAGGGTGACGTCACTGAGGTGTTGATCGCCTGGATCCGCGCAGCTCGTCTCCAGCTCCGGGAGAGTTTCGGCTCGGACTTTCCTGTTCTGCGTCTGCACTCCGACAGAGGCGGAGAGTTCTCCTCTGACCTTCTGCGGGCCTTCTGTCGTGCACGAGGCATCCGCCAGACCTTCACGCTTCCGGACTCTCCACAGCAAAATGGGATTGCTGAGCGCCGCATTGGCATGATCATGGACGTCGCTCGTACGTCCATGGTCCATGCGGCTGCCCCCCATTTTCTATGGCCGTTTGCGGTTCGGTACGCGGCGCATCAGATCAACCTTCACCCCCGGGTCTCCATGCCGGAGACCTCCCCTGCTTTACTGTGGACGGGGAAGGCTGGCGATGCGTCTGCGTTCCGTGTCTGGGGATCTCGGGCGTTTGTCCGCGACTTGTCTGCGGACAAGCTGTCCTCTCGTGCTGTTCCCTGCGTCTTCCTTGGCTTCCCTCCTGACGCGCCAGGCTGGCAGTTCTACCACCCCACCTCGCGCCGTGTTCTGTCCTCCCAGGACGTCACCTTTGACGAGTCGGTTCCCTACTACCGTCTCTTCCCCTACCGCACTGCGTCCCTCCCTCCCCCGCCGCTCTTCCTTACGCCAGGTCCCCCTCCGGTAGACCCCCTTCCCCCTCAGGGTCCTGCCCCCTCAGGTGTGTCCCAGGTAGATGCAGTCGAGCCTGTCGAGGTAGCTGTTGACTCTGGTGCTGCTGGGGGTGCTGAGCCTGGGGGTGCTGGGTCTGGGGGTGCTGCGACTGGGGGTGCTAAGCTTGAGGGTGCTGAGCCTGGGGGTGCTGAGCTTGGGGGTGCTGAGCCTGGGGGTGCTGCGCCTAGGGGTGCTGAGCCTGGGGGTGCTGCGCCTGGGGGTGCTGAGCCTGGGGGTGCTGTTTCTCGGAGTGCGGAGCCTGGTGGTGCTGGGCCTGGAGGTTCTTCGGGTGCTTCGTCCCGGCGGGAGCTACTCTCTCCACAGGAGCTGCGTGAGTGGTTTGCCCGGCGCTGGAGGCGTGCTGCTGGAGCTGGTGGTACTACGGACGCTGGAGGTTCTGCTGCTGCTGAGGGTGCTGGTGCAGAGGGTCCCAGAGGTGCTCGTACAGGGTGTACTGGAGCTGCTGGGCCTACGGGTGCTCCTACTTCTTGAGCTGGTGGTGCTACTGGCGTTGGTGCTGCTGGTGCTCCTGGAGCTGACGCTGCTGCGTCTTCTGGTGGTCCGACTGGAGCTGGAGCTACTGGGGGTGTTGGCACTGGAGGTGCTACTGGCGCTGGTGCTTCTGAGGGTGCTGGAGTTGGCGCTGCTGGAGCTGGGGGTACTCCTGGTGCTGGTGCTCCCGTTGGGGGTACTGGTGCTGTTCCTGCTGGCACTGGTGGCGCTGCGCGGCCACGGCCGTACTTCGTTCCGCTCCTTGAGCAGGTTCTTGGTCTTCCGTCCTCTCTTGGTCCTGCTCCTCCCTTAGCGTGTCCGCCTCCTGTCCAGTCTGAGTCAAAGTTACAGCCCGCCTCCCCGCTTCCTTCTCCTTCTCCCTACACTGGTCCTACTGGAGGTCTTGCTGAGCGTCGTGAGCCTGCGTCTCGCCCTGCGTCGCCTGTCCGTGCTGCTCGCACTAGTGGTCGTGGTTCGCGTCAGCGTCCTCCCCCTGTCCCCGGCACGCACCGGATGTCTCTGCGTCCTTCCACTGCTCCACTGCGTGCCCCTTTGCCTTCTCCTCCCGCGTCCTCTCTTCCTGACCTTCCTGACCCTGAGTCGGACTCCCTTCGTGCTGCGCGTCCTACTGTCACGCGTCTCCTTGCTACTGTCGTCACTGACCCTTCCTTTGAGTCTACTGCTGCGTCTGCCCTCGTTGCTGAGCTTGTCGACTTCGCTGCTCGCTGTCGCCTAGACTACGCTGCCAGTCTCGTCGCTGAGTCTGAGTCTGTCTGTCCTCCGTCCGTCGGGGGTGAGTGTGCTCTTGGCACGGACGTCCTTGAGGACAGGCAGGAGGAGTTCCAGTGCTTGGCTGCTGCTTCACCTCATCTCGTGTCCATGCTGCTTGCCCCTGAGGGAGACCCGGATGCACTTGACATCCCGACTCCGCGCTCTTACGCTGAGGCGATCGCGGGTGACTACTCCTCTCAGTGGCAGGCAGCCATGGACGCAGAGATGGCTTCCTGGAAGTCCACAGGCACCTACGTTGACGAGGTTCCCCCGCCTGGGGCGAACATCGTCGATGGCATGTGGATTTTCAGGGTGAAGCGGCCGCCGGGTTCTCCGCTTGTCTTCAAGGCGCGTTACGTGGCTCGTGGCTTCAGTCAGCGGCAGGGAGTTGACTACTTTCAGACCTTCTCTCCCACCCCGAAGATGACCACTCTTCGGGTACTGCTGCACATAGCTGCTCACTAAGACTACGAGCTGCACTCTCTTGACTTCAGCACTGCTTTCTTGCAGGGCAGCCTGCACGAGGAGATCAGGCTGCGCCGCCCACCTGGCTTAACAGGGACTTTTCCTCCTGGCACCCAGTGGAGCCTCCGACGGCCAGTCTACGGTCTCCGCCAGGCACCTCGTGAGTGGCACGACACACTGAGGACTACACTTGCGGCTCTTGGGTTTGCTCCTTCTACTGCCGACCCGTCGCTGTTTCTGCGCACCGACTCTTCTTTGCCGCCGTTCTACATCCTCGTGTACGTCGACGACTTGGTCTTTGCTACAGCTGACACTGCTGGACTTGCCTACGTGAAGTCCGAGCTGCAGAAGAGACACAGGTGCACAGACCTGGGTGAACTGCGCAGCTACCTTGGCTTGCAGATCACCCGGGACAGAGCACAGTGCACCATTACCCTGACTCAGTCACATATGGTGCAGCAGGTCCTTCAGCGCTTCGGCTTCACGTACTCCTCGCCTCAGGCCACTCCTCTGGCTACACGCCACTCGCTCTCAGCTCTGCCTTCGGATGAGTCCGTAGAGTCGAGTGGCCCGTACCCAGAGCTTGTTGGCTGCCTCATGTACCTGATGACTTGCACTCGACCTGACCTTGCATACCCTCTTAGCATTCTGGCACGCTATGTTGCTCCTGGGAGACACAGACCAGAGCACATGGCTGCAGCGAAGAGGGTGTTGCACTACTTGTGCAGTACGTCGGGCATGGGGCTTGTGCTTGGAGGGCAGAGTTCAGTGGTCCTCACTGGTCACGCAGACGCTTCTTGGGCTGACGACCAGGCTACGCAGCAGTCGTCACAGGGTTACACCTTCAGCCTTGGTTCCGGCTCTGTTTCGTGGCGGTCTACCCGCTCGTCTTCTGTTCTCGGCTCCAGTTGTGAGGCTGAGATCTACGCAGGGGCCATGGCTGCACAGGAGCTACGCTGGCTCACCTACCTGCTGACTGACCTGGGAGAGCCGCCTCGTTCTCCTCCAGTACTGTACGTAGACAACAAGGCCATGCTGGCCTTGTGTCGGGAGCACAGACTGGAGCACAGAAAGAAGCACATCGCTCTTCGCTACTTCCTTGCTCGTGAGCTGCAGCAGCGTGGTCAGCTGCGCCTTGCTTACGTGGCCTCTCAGGCCAACACTGCTGATATCTTCACTAAGGCACTCGCGCCTTGTGATCATCAGCGCTTCTGTACTCAGTTAGGTCTTGTGCCTACCTTGCCTCACTTGCTTACTTCTTGACCTTGCTTGTACTGTTACGTATATATATCCCTGCTCTTGCTTGTTTAGCGTTATATATATGTAATCTTGCATGTGAACTGGCCTTGTGGCCTTGAACTTGTGCTCAGAATGTGTGGTGACATTGAGATCCACCCTGAGCTTGCTTTGCTTTGCTTGACTGGTCTTGTGACCCCTTGTTCTCCCCCACTTTGCCTATGGGGGTGTGTCAAACATTATATATGTTGTAGCTTTGTAGGCTACAGTGGGTTTAGCCTTAGGGGGTACACAATTCTAGGGTTTCATATTTGTACTCCCATTCTTGTTAGTCACACATCATTCCTCGTTTTCTCACAGCAGCTGTCCAGGAGTGGCCCGTCCCACGCGACGTTGGTCAAGTCCGATAATTTCTAGGCCTGGCGAATTATTTTCGTCGCTTCTTGGAAAATTATTCCACGATAGTCGCTCCCCTCACGGCATTAACCCGGAAAGGGTGTGCATGGGAGTGGACTCCACAGTGCCAAAAGGTCTTCGAGGAGGTTAAACATAAATAAATTAACTAACGCACCAGTTTTGGTGTTGCCAGACCCACAGAAACCATACGAGGTGGTTACGGACGCCTCAACGGTGGGACTTGGTGCAGTACTCCTGCAAGAAGGACGCCCTGTGGCATTTGAGAGTAGAAAACTCTCCCCGGCAGAGCAACGCTACACGACAACCGAACAAGAGTTGTTGGCTGTCGTGCATGCGCTAAGAACATGGCGATGTTACTTGGAAGGGGTAGAGTTCGTGGTCACCACTGACCATTGTCCGAACACATATTTTTCTACCCAAGCTACCCTCACTCGCCGTCAGGCCCGTTGGGCTGAACTCCTTAGTGGGTTCAGCTTCGACATTCGTTATCGTGCAGGTTCCTAGCCGACCCCCTCAGCGGACAGCCGATAGGGGCGGCAACCGGGCTTGACGATACTGAACATGCGGCTGTTTTTGCTGTCTGTTATCGTATACTAGCTACGGCGAAAGTGAGCGAGATCGCGTTCAGTGGTTTTCTGAAACGAATTCGCACAGGATATCATATCGATTCCTGGTTCCAGAACCCACAAAACACTAAGCATTTGACTTGGGAACACGATCTTTGGTGGCGAACAAAAGAGATTGCGGTACCTCATGTAGGCAATCTGCGGAACGATATCTTGGAAGAGGTGCACGCCACTAAATATGGGGGACACTTGGGCATGAATAAGACCCGGTGGGCCTTACGCGATGTATATTGGTGGCCTGGAGTCGGTAGTGATGTCCAACAGTTTGTGGCACGTTGTGACACGTGCGCACGTAACAAACCGGACACACAAAAGCCTGGTGGTTTGCTTCAACCACTTGAAATTCCGAGTGAACCTTGGGAAAGCGTTTCACTGGATTTCATCACCGACCTCCCAAAAACCCGCGATGGGTATACAGCGATACTCGTGTTTGTAGATCGCCTTACAAAAATGGTGCACTTTGTACCCACGACAACGGACGTATCAGCAGAGGATACGGCTCGGTTGTTCGTGACACATGTGTTCCGCCTACACGGATTGCCACGTGTATTAGTGTCTGATCGCGACCCGCGCTTCACGAGCAGGTTCTGGCGTGAAGTAACCGAGACACTAGGAACGAAGCTTAAGATGTCGTCAGCGTTCCATCCCCAGACAGATGGGCAAACGGAACGGACAAACTGCACTCTTGAGCAAATGCTTCGTTCTTTCATAAGCCCAACACAGGACAATTGGGACGAGTTGTTACCCATGGTCGAGTTTGCGGTTAACAACTCAGTGCATGATAGCACACATGAAAAACCATTTATCCTGAACTGTGGTCGGCATCCCACAACACCTGCTACGCATGGGATCGGCGGTTTGAAATTACCTGCCGCAAAGGATTTTGTGGGCAAGCAACGAGAGGCCCTAAAGTCGGCACGTCGTTGGCTGCAATTAGCCCAACAAAGGCAAAAATCCTATGCCGACATGAAACGCCGGGAAGTATCATTCTCCGTTGGAGACAAAGTTTTATTAAGCACGAAGAATATTCGGCTTAAGATCCCTGGTGCGAGAAAGTTGTTCCCTCGCTGGATTGGGCCCTTCGAGGTGATTCAACGAGTTGGTGCGGTAGCTTACAAGCTCAAGCTACCTGATACCCTGCAGATTCACAATGTCTTCCATGTGTCTCTGTTAAGCAAGTACGTTGCAGAAGGCAAGTACTTACCACCACCAACAATCGTCCTAGGGGAGGAACTGTACTATGAAGTCGAACGAGTGCTTTTGCATCGTGAACGACAACGCGGCCGCAAAACAGTACGAGAGTTCCTCATTATGTGGAAAGGCTATGAACCTAAACACAACTCTTCGGAGCCGGAAGAACATTTGACTGATACTGCGGTTCATTCGTACATGGAAGACCTGGCTCAACGAACATGCCCACAACCAGCGGATGGTGTTGACCCTGGTCGTAATGTGGTTCGTCGTGCTCGTAGCACTCGTCCTAAGAAGCACCCCATGGCAACGAGGACGTTACCAGTTGGAGGGGGAGGAGTGTAACATTCGGACCCAACCCCCACCTGGTTTCGATACGTCGAACTAGCTGTAAGGGGGATTTGGGGGGAAACCTGATTGGTTGAGAATAGAGGGAGAAGCGAGACTTGCGGGGAATTGTGGATTGATTGGGAAACCAACCAATCGAGATTGCCGCTGAATTGAACCCACGTAATTGGTTCAAGTTGGATCAAACACAACCCACGTAAGTGCAACTCGGACCTAATTCGACCAATCAGAACGCAGCCCCAAGAGTGAGTCGACAATATTTCCGCCGCTCACTCCAAACACAACCAATAAACATCAAGCGCAGGTTTGTGATTGCTGTGCATTTCCTATCCTTGCTATCTAAAATGTAATTGGTTGAAAATCTTGTTTGTTGCCACATGGGCAAGGCCCAAGGGAGTGCACCCCTCCTTGCCATGGGGAAGGTGGCTGCACCCCAAGGGGGTCTAGGGAAGGGGTCTGAGCCTTCTGGTTCATTCTTCACTTCCTGTCCCCAACAACACAATTGGGAAATAGGATTTCTTTTCTCTCAACTCATCCTCCACAGTTTGTGACTGCATCTCCAAGCATTCTACAGACTTAGTAATTTCCAGGAGCTGCTACACTTTGGTTGTATTAGAACATATCTATATATGGGTAAATGCCCTTTTAATTAGTAGATCCATTACATTGGCAATCAGAGCTACAAGTAGATCCTCGCCTTGTGGGCATATAAGAGAATTTTGTGACTTGCTTTTCTTGGAGAAGTTGTAATTTGCATTGTAATTTCTGTTATAAGCTTTTGAAGACTACAAGCTACTCTGGCTCAAGTTTTCAAGATTTGGAAGCTTCTCCAAGAGTTTTATTCCCTCCCTCCCTCCCTGCTGGTGGAACCATTGGAGCTACTGTGAAGAAGTTGCAACCTGTGTGTATTAACATTCTCTGTTGAAGACAATCACTTTGTGATTGTTCTTGCCTTATCCACTGCGGTGGTAAGGATATTTTGCAACAGAGGTGTTTTTCACATTGTTGTGGTTGTAAGATCTATTGAAGACATTTCTCCTCTGGAGAAAATCTTGGTTATTCACTGCGGTGGTAACAATTTGCAGAAAATCTGTAACTCATTTTTATAATACAGTGACTTTGCTCTAAATGGCTTCTACCAACTCCAATGCTGGTGGTGTTGAAGGCAACAACTCCCAGGCTGAACTGGAAGCTTGTGTGCAGAAGATTGACCTGAACAACTTGGATGAGGAAATGGCTGAAAAGGAACCTGCTGAAAACTCCCCTGCTAAGGACCCTTCAGCTGCTGAAAATTCCAAGGAGCAGGAAGAGGAGCCTCAAGAGGATGACATTGAGTTGGAAGGGGAAGATGATATTCTGCATATTGAAATTGCTAAGCTGCAGGACCATGCTGCTGAGCAGGATACGCGCATCCAGCAGCAGCAGTCACTCATTACCAACCTCAAGAGGGAGCTCTCTGACCAGGACAACAAAATCAAGTACCTGGAAGTTGAGCTCAAGAACATGCAACACGACGCGCGGGAGAACGTTCATCAGCTGGCGAGGCAGACCTCAAAGATCAACGAGCTGCGCGAGGCGTTCAGTGCCCTCCGAAGGGAGACCATGTATCGCCCTGCACCACGAGCGGACCCGCCTGCCAACTCTGCTAGCGGTCGCACCAACCCTTCTCGCTCTGGTGGTGTGGCGGGTGACCCCGGACCCTGAGCACACAGGCTTTTGGCTCTCTGCCAATCACCCTGCCGCCATTCATCCATGGCAAGACGGACGTGGCTGCGTGAATGTCGATGATGACCGACCTGTTCAAGGCTCACAAGGTCCATGACGATGCTCGCGTCGTCGCTGCCACCACCGTGCTGGACCAGAATGCACAGCGAGTGGTGTATGGCAGCAAGCTCCAGGGTGAGGCGGATAGGAAGCCGTTTGGGTGGGAGGAATTTGCCTCTGCACTCAAGTAAGCTCTCCTTCCAGGTCCAGCCGACCCAGCTGGAGGTGCGCAGCCGCCTTGAGAAGCTGCAGTGCGGGAACCGCACAGTTCAGCAGTACGCAGTTGAGTTCGAGGAGATCTGGGTGCTCCAGAAACCGGCGGAACGTATGAGCGAAGGCGAAAAGATCCACCTGTTCTTCAGGGGGCTGCCTGAACACCTTAAAAACATGCATATGACGGATGGGGCTGGGGAGGCATGGAGGTCCTACGATCATGTGAAGCGCGTGGTGGGGACCACTGATAAGCATTTCCGTGCTTATGCCAAAACCACTACCCAGCCGCAGCAGGCCTCAAGGCCGTCGTCTAGCACTGCGGGTCCAAGCGGAAGGCAGCAAGCAACGCCTTGGAAGGGCGGGAACCACAAGAGGCCCTTCCAGCAGGGACAGCAGGCTGACCACAAGGCCAAGAAGGTCAACGAGGGTGGACCAAGCAATGTCCAGAGCTGCTTCAAGTGCGGCAAGCCTGGACACAAGGGTTATGAGTGCCGCCACCGCAAGTCGGTGAATTACTCTGGCAAGCCTAAGACGGACAATAGGCGCAATGACGGCAGTGGTCCCTCGGGCAGCCAGCGGGATTTTGCAAAGCCCAACTAGGGGGTGGGTACCTAGCGGGCATAGCAGATCGAGAGGATGAGGCAGTGGTCCTGCGGGATGAGGAGTTGTTGAAACTCGAATGCATTGTTGATTGCAAAACTGCATGTGCGTATGCATTTTCCTTTAATGAAAGCTCTTTGTTTGCCTCTCGATTTCACCCACTGGAAAGTATCACAATTGAATCATTACAAGATAAATTCTCAATTTTTTTTTGCGATCACCACAATTTGCCTTGGATAATGGATGTGGTGGGTCGTTGCACCCAAGCGCACCCTCTAACTGCGGTTGGAATGGTAACGCGCACAGTTCGAGGTAAATTATTTCGAGCGCTTCAAGGATGGAGTGTGTTAGCGACGGACAGCAACGCGATCAATCCGAACCGAAGGGGGATATCAGAAGGAAATTAACAGAAACCTTCGTCCCGATACCCTCGCATTCAGGGTCCACATGATGCGTACTCTACATTGACAGAGTCGGTAAGAACACTACTCTTAGTCTGGATACAAGATTTCAGGGTTCGCTAAAGTCCTTATCTGAATGGATCAGAGTTCACAAGTCACAAATTCTGAAATGGCAGGGACCACCAAGTGACAAGCCTGTAATCACCCTGAAATCAGGGTAATTACCCTGATAAAATCAGCCCTGGCTGCACCCCAAGGGGGTCTAGGGAAGGGGTCTGAGCCTTCTGGTTCATTCTTCACTTCCTGTCCCCAACAACACAATTGAGAAGTAGGATTCATTTTCTCTCAACTCATCCTCCACAGTTTGTGACTGCATCTCCTAACACTCTACAGACACAGTAATTTCCAGGAGCTGCTAATCTCTGGTTGTATTAGAACCTATCTATATATGGGTAAATGCCCTTTTAATTAGTAGAAAAGAAACCATGGAACCTGTCGTAAGCTGCATTGGTTCACTCGAATATATTTCTTTGAGACTACGATTCCTACCATGCCGTCGCTGCCGTCCCCGCTGAACCCCGCCTTCCGAGCCCCTTCCTTTCCACTGTCGCCGATCGCGGAGGTCCTGTCCGACGATAACCTTCTCTCGCTCGTGCTGCGATCACTCACGCACGACTCTTTTCACTACGCGCTTGTCTCGAAGCGATGGTACGCCGCAGCGCGACTCTCGCTCACGCACATGGCAATCAAATCTCAGATCCGATTCTCCGTTCTCCTAGAAATGATTCGCAGCTTTTCCTCGCTCACGCACTTCGAGCTTCAGGAATGTTGCGTTCAGGATGCGCACGGCGATGTTCTCTTCCAATGCCTGGGCGCCACGTGTCCGCATTTGACACATCTGACCGTACACTTCCAGCCTCGCATGAACGTCACTTGCAACGGCCTCTCGTCTCTCTTCCATGGCTGTCGCAAGCTCCGTGACCTCCGCCTACTCACCCTCCGCTTCCTCCCGCACCTCCCCGCCCGCCGTCTCTCTCCTTTCCGACCTGAGAACCCTCCATGTCTCCCGCCGCGACGACTATTACAGCGCGGATCAATTTGAGCATCTCGTTTTGCCGCCCGAAAGCATCGGCGCACTTCAGCAGCTGCGGGAAATCCGCGTTATAACAGGATGGGCGTTCGAAGGTCTCCCGGATCCCATCAGCAGCCTCACAAACCTCCGAAGCTTGACCTTTTCCAGCCCCTTTCTCTCACACCTCCCCAGCTCGATTGGTGAATTACCACAATTGCAAACCCTAAAAGTCGAAATGTATAGGTTGGATTCAATATCGGATTCCTTTCAGCATCTCACCAGCCTTCATTCCTTCTCGCTGCAGTCCAAGTGTTTGGCGCGCTTGCCTGAGCATGTGATGGGGGCGATGGTGCGATTGAAAGCGCTTTCTCTCTGCTGCGGCTTGCCCAGACTGCCGGAGTTCATCTGCTCCCTCTCCCTCTCCTCCCTCTCCATCCTTTCCTGCCCTGCACTCACCTTCCTTCCCGACAATCTTGGAGCCCTGGTACACCTTGAAACCCTGAAGCTTTGCAATCTGCCCAACCTCTGCTGTCTTCCGAAGAGCATAGGCCACTTACAGCGATTGAAGTCGTTGGAAATCAGTCGGCTGGGTCTGCTGCAGCTGCCCGGAAGCCTGTGCACGGAGAGTGTGAGACACAGCCTGGAGCGGCTTTTGTTGAGTGACTGCAGGGAACTGTGGCGGCTGCCCCCCCAGCTGGGCATGCTGACGTGCCTGAAAGAGCTCGAAATCACCTCCTGCCCTCGCCTCGAGTCCCTGCAGCCATTGTTTGCTCCGAATCCCCCATGGCCACAGCCACATCACAATACGCAGCAGCGCACCGCACAGCAGCCATGGGGCCTGGCATCCCTCACCAGCCTGTCGCTGTCTAGATGCTCTCAAGGCTCCTCTCTCCCTGATTCCTTCTCCACGCTCTCTGCCCTCTCTTCCCTCACTCTCACACGCATGCGCGGCCTCTGCAACCTCCCAGAATCACTCGGACAGCTGGAAAACCTCAGGTTTTTAAAGCTCAAATACTTGGGAGATTTATCTGTGCTGCCCGAGTCACTCGGGCAACTGAACAACCTTGAAACGCTGGAGCTGTGTTATTTGCCAAAGCTGAACTCTGCCCGAATCACTCTGTTGGCTGCCCAGACTGAAAGAGGCGAAGCTGATTGGAGTTCTAGGCAGGATGACAGGTGGTGGATTGGCTACCTCCGCCACAATGCAGCTAACTTTTGTTTCATTTTGTTTTTCATGTTTTTGGGTTTTTTGGTGCGTTGGGTTGAGAAAAGCTTCGAGGATCTTTAGAGAGACTAGATTTGAAGTACATGTGTAACAGAAAGCTCAAGTCTTAGAATTCCTGCACGTGTACGGTATGTGAGAATAAGAGAACCGGACTTCCATGCGCGACTGTCAAATGGCCCAAGCCCATGGTGTGAAGGGCTCACTCCATCCCAGGGGGTCGAGGCTGTGCATCAACAACACTTGGGGGTGGCATCATAGGTTGCAGTGCCTGCATGGGCTGAATAGGTTGCATGGGTTGGGTGGGCCATTGCTGCTGCTGGCTGGGTTGAGCATGGAAGGCCGCTGGGCCATTGTTGCCAGTCCATGCTGCTTGCTGCTGCTGTGGTTGTTGCTGCTGCCACTTCTGTTGCTGGTATGGCTGCTGCTGCCACTGCTGCTGCTGCTGCTGCTGGTACTGTAATGGTTGTGGTTGTTGTTGCAGATACTGCTGCTGCTGCTGCAGCTGCTGGTATTGCACTGGGTGTGGTGGTTGTTGCTGGGATGGCTGCTGCTGTTGCTGATGCAGCTGCTGCCACTGCTGTTGTTGGTGAATTGGTGGAGGCTGCTGAAAGGTCTGCTGGTACTGCCCCTGGGGTGGGAAAGAAAACTGCTGTAACTGCTGCTGCTGCTGCTGGAATGGAGGGGTGTGAGCTGGTTGTAAGGGCTGCTGAAACGAGGGGGGCTGTTGCAGATACCCGAAACCTGGTTGCTGCATGGGTTGGTGCATGGGTTGGTGCATGGGTTGCTGAAAGGGCATTTGAGGGCGAGGCATGAAGGGAGGAGAGGGACCGGTCACAAAGGGTGGAGCGGGCATGGGGGAAGGCTGGTTCATCATCATGGGAGAAACCCCACCGCCCTGCTGCCACTGCTGGTTGCCTACTGGAGTAGGAGGACCACCAGCAGGAGCAGGAGCAGCAGGAGGAGCGGGACCAGCAGTTGCATTGCGGTTGTAACCGTCCATCTGGTTACCGTAACCGCTGCTGACGTTTGCGCCATTGTAATAACCATCGGGCCCTCCTCGCCCCTGCCATCCGCTCCCTCCTCTTCCTCTGTCGCCTCTCCCCCTCTCACCTCTCCCTCTGTCTCCCCTCCCTCTCCCTCCTCTCCCTCTCCCTCCTCTCCCTCTCCCTCCTCTTCCTCCCTCGAACCCACCTGGTCCATCCCACCCCCCTCCCTTTCCCCCTTCCCATCCTCCTCCCCTCCCTCTTTCTCTCCCGCCATCTCCATCCCAATCTCCCCTTCCCCTCCCCCTCCCTCTCCCTCGCTCTCCCCTTCCTCGTCTTCCCCTCCCTCCCTCCTCCTCCCCGCCCTTCCTCTTGCTCCTCCGCTGCTCCCTCCTCCACTCCTCCTCCTTCTCATCATCACTAAACATTGCTTCTGCATCCCCCCC